CCATCTTACGGGTGGGGGCCCTTCAACTATCATATGAGGTACTGGGCTCTTTTTAAAATACCTTCATTAATGTAATCCTGGCACATTCCTGTAAGGCAGAAATCACTATCCCTTTTTCATAGAAGAGAAAACTGAAGGCTGAGAAGTTAAGTTACTTTCTCAAGGTTACAGCCAGTAAGTGGTAGAACTAGGTTTTGATCCAGGTTTTCTAATCCCAAAGCCTAGGGTTTAGACTGAACTACCCACTGTCACAGGTTCCTGTGAGAAGTGCAGACTCAGCTCAGCAAGATGAAAAGAGATACAGATATGATCAAACCTTTCTATCACAAGGCATCTCTCCTAGTGCTGGAGTCCTCTGTAGGTGGACTAAGATGCACTTTGGGCATGAATAAAGTTACTGTTGGACCTTTTTATACTTATTTTACACTTTAGATTGAGCAATCTATCACCATCCCAATCAATCAAACAAACAAATAAGGTGGGATTCGAGGCACATTGGCCTTTTTGCTATTTTTTGAATGTGCTAAGTATGCTCCTGCCTTTCAAGGATTTTGTTATTTCTGTTCTGCTAGTGGTTGGGGCCTTAAAAAAGTCTTAATCTGGCTCTTGGATCTGACTAAGGCTAAGGCTAAAGGATATGGGGTGGATGTCATTCTTCTGGCACACTCTAGCAATGATCATACTCTGAAACACGAGCCGATGCTCATTTTTTCAACAATTTATTTATTGAGGGCTTTCTATGGGCTAGGCCATGTGCATGAGAAGTGACTGAGACACGAGTTGTGCCCAGGAGAATCTGCCAGTGTGCCTGAAGTCTGTGTACATGTGTATAGAGGGAGGGGAAAGGGAAATAAGGGATGGCTTTGTGGAGAAGCTAGCTCATGAACTCGGCCATGGACAGACTTGGATGGGTAGAGACAGCGGGGACTAACGGATTGTTTTACATATGAGATCTAACAAAAAGATGGCATCAAATTCAGCTGGATCCAGTGATTGTAGGGAGGGTTTATTGGAGGCATCTGTCTAGGTCTTCTCCTGAACTTCTCTCTTTTCCTGCTGGTCGTCATAAAGGGGAACTCATAAATCTCATCCATGGGTATAATTTTCCTTCAGGATGTTTCACTGAGAGAATGAAAGCCACTCAATTAAGACCCAAAAGCAACTGCTTAAATAGCAGGTTTTGCTTCATATAAACATGATCATTTTCCCCTCTGTTTTTCTTTTTAAGTCTAGTAATACTATGAAAAGGAATCAAAGCATTAAATAATTCTCAGCACGACTTTTGTAGAAGTCAGTGGCTAGGAATCCAACTGTAAGAGAAAAGCATGATCATCTATATATCAGACCAAAAAAAAAAAAAAATCTGTGATATAAGCCTTTGTGTTTTGGCCACCTTGTGGCACTGTGACCAAATGGCAGGACAAATAACTGCAGGAGAAAACAGCCATGTTTGAGGGTCACTGGCTGGTACCCAGAATTAGAAAACGATGGCAAACATCACTTAAAGGGCAGTGTGACCGCTGCCCCCAACCATTCGCAAAACACTCCAAACTACAAACAAACCGGAGCAGCTTCCCAGAAGACGGGTGCTGCCTGTTGCCCTGTTCCCTTCCAGGGAGGTGCTTCACGTGGCCCTTCTCTTCCTCCGAGTCATCAGCGCCTGTGCTGACGGCAAGATCCGCATCTACAGCTTCCTGAATGGGAATTGCTTGAAGGTGTTGAAAGCCAGTGGCAGAGCTGATCCCGTGCTGTCCTTCTTTATTCAGGGCAACAGGTGAGTGGTAGGTGCGGAGGTCAGAGCTGTTGGGATGTTCTTTTTTCTCCTTGGGGATACCAGCCCTGGATTTGCTGGCAGCAGGGAAGAGCAGGCCATGCTCCCCTCGAATATTTGACTGTTGGAGAGTAATAGTCTTATGGGGGCCTAACTGGACCTCACACAAAATTTAGCCAGGGTGTACATTGCTCTTAATTTGTTCTGGACGTCTGGGCAAATCATGCAGCAAGGGCTGTATGGATGTGCAGCAAGGACCACCGTTCTGCAAGTGTGCAGCCCCTGCTTGCCCCCTGACTGTGCATTCCACTGCCTGAGAGCTCCACCTGCTGGGGCCTACTTTTGATGCAAAGAGGTTACAGGAGGGTCGGGGTCCAGTGTTCAGTGGGGCAGAACTGAGCAGGTGGTTTGCAGAAACCAGAACCATGCCACCACCAGTTACATATGGTACTGTGCTTGTTATATGCTAGGTTCAGGGTGATATATGAAAATACCCAAATAGAATTAACTTTTAAATTCTATTATAGGCTCGCTCAAGACATCAGTTAATCTCCTTGAGCCATATTACCTGTTTCAAAGAGGGAGGCCTGGAAATAAGCCTCAATAAATTAACACTTTTCAGTTACAAAATAATCAATTCTGGTAAAAAAAGAAAAAAAAAAGAAAAAAAGAAAAGTCACCTCTGGCCTTTTTTCATTTATGACATCCAAAGAGAGACATTTCCTTTTGGCTTGAGAAAAAATAGCCTGAAAGAGTTTTCTAATAGGAGTAAGTTCCCAAATTCCATTCTAGTAATTCCAACCCAAACAAGTACTTCTGTAGAGTTCACAGTAACAGTTAAGGTCTCAACAACTGCAGCCTTTTGGAGCAGAAAGGAACCTGCACCAAGTATTTCCATTTCTTGTTTATGATCCAGGAGATCTAGGCACAGAATAGGGAAAGCAGCTCGCCCTGTGCATGCTGCGAGTGACAGAAGTCAGTGAGTGGGTGGGGGGCAGCACCAGGGGACCCAGATTAGGGACTCTTCCTACCAGGGTATAGCTGGGGGTTAGGGAGGATGGAAATCACCCTGCTTTATGAAGTACAAATGTTCTGTCTACATGCAGAGCGTGCACAGAGACTGTGCAGGGATGGAGTGAAGAAGGGTGGGCTGGAGGGTCAGCAGGGGAGGAAGGCCCTGCCCATTCGTTTCCCTCATCCCCATCCCAGCAACAGAAACACAGTGTTTGTAATACTGTGCTTAAAACACCATGAATTTCAAGGCATCGGTATGCAGAGTACCCTAAGCCTTTTGCCTTGGGCAGCCTATGTAGTTGGCATTCATTCCAGGAATGGACATTCATGTAAAAATATTTTAACCCAAGGAACATAGGGGCCCTGCCCACATTTAATTAAAAAAAAAAGGTAGAATGCTGATGACCCCCATTACCTGGCCTGCTCCCTTTTGCCTCTAGACCTCCCAGCAACCTACACCACCCTGTTTGTAGGGCCTCAGGACAAGTACCTGACATGGGTGTTTGGAGGCTGGCCAGGGGTGGTCTCCACGCTCCTTCGGTGAACAATCTTGTTTTGGTTCCAGGCTGGTGATCAACACAGAGAGCAATATTCTCTTGTTTCACTTTGAGAATATAAAGTGGCAGTACTCCGTGGAACGGGCCAAACAAAAGAAGGATAAAGAGGACAGAGAAGAGAACAGCCTCGCAGAAGTTCTCTCCAAGTCTAGCACTCAGACTTACAGCCTGAGGGACTCAATATCCAGTCAACAAGCGGTGGCCCGAGAGTCCTCCCTCTTAAACGAACCTCACAGGCCCTGCCTTCTCCTGAGGACAACCAGGTCACCTTCATGTAAGAGAGGTGAATCCCAGACCATCTCAGTGGCCCCCAAAGGAGAAGGTGAGGGGGTGCCAGGACTAGCTTCTTTGTGGGATATTTTGGCCAATGGTTCTTTAAGGAAGAATGGGATCCATTATCTCGATTCATCAGTTTGTTAGTCAGCTCAAAGAAATCTCCTGATTTTCAACACCTAGGCTTACATACTTATGAGAATCTTTGTACAGTAGATAACATGAGCCCTTAATACCTGCCATTAAAACAAAAAACAAGCTACTGACATCGCACCAAACATATAGTGCATAATTATTTCCTTAGGATAGAGACAAGATATTATTATACTGCAGAAGAATGTTCTATGCAAAATGTATCATCTTTAGACCCCTGGTTAATAATGTGCATACCTAGAAAATATTAGTAATAAAGCAGATACATGTATGTGTGTGTGTGTGTGTAGGTCACGGAGGAGTGGCGTGGCTCATGCTATTTATAAGACACACAGAGAATAAATTATGTACCAGATGCCTTCCTTTTACCTGCCCTGTATTTGGCATGTGAAATTGGATCCACAGATCTGTAGAGAACATTAGATCATTCCAAGTGTGTTACTTTCCAATAGCTCTCTTTTGAGAGGACTGAGAGTTTTAGATAATGCTCGAAGCTTGACAATCACTAGGAAAAATGGTGGGAGGGCAGTTGGGAGGTGACCTAGACCTTAGGCTCCAGGTGACTACCTGGTTTCTTAGGCAACACTGGGTGAAAATCAGTCTAATTATGAGCTCTGCCCCTATTATTCAGACCTAATTGAATTATGTAATTACCATGGTTTCCTCCTCAATCTTAATTTAGCAATGTTAGTATAAACACCTAGTAGTCAAGGAAAGTCAAAATCACCTAGAGAAGGCAAGAATATGGTGAGTCTGATTTCTAAGGAAGCAGATGGCATGGATGGTGGGCAAGAGAGTTTGGAAGCAAAATCCCTCAGAGATACAATGAATGGTGATGATACTTTATTCTCTATCAGTTGCAAGATGTAGTCTCTCTGTCACAGTCTCTGTCTCTCTCTTGTTCCCTTGCTCTGTTCAGTCTAGTTTTTCAGCAAGTCAGTAACTTAGCTTATCTTTGAGAATTCAGAATGGATAAAATGCATGGCTTTTCTTAAGAGCAATTAGTTTTCCTTAATTAACCCCCTTACTAACTTGAAGCTGCAAAGTGGGAACCTTTGTAAGAGCTGAGTTTCCAGGCTTGGGCTCACAGCTTGACATTCAGCCTCTTCACCTTTTGGACTATTGTCTTGCCAATCTGAATAATGGGCACAACAGATGGGAGAAGAGACAGTAGGGGTTGATTTCAGAGGGTATAACGGGATTTCATGACGGAGGAGATAGACTTGGGGGAGGTGCTATGTATAAGAGGTGAGGGAGAGAGATGAGGGCCTTTTATGAAGAGTTACTGGACACCATGAATGGGATGTCTCTTTGTTGGTTTTGAGAGACTTGAGTAAAGACTTAAAATGCCTTGCAAATATTTCTGGCTAATACAATGGTGTTTCTTTCAATCAAACTCCCTGTGAGATTAGTTTTGAGGACAGAGTAAAACAATTAAATTTTAGGAGGCCATTCTAACAATGGGCATATTTGTATATGCCCATGTGGATGTAGCTGAGTAAGTATACCCAGATGGGTGAAGTCCTACACTTACTTGCATTTAAAAACCAGACAGATACTGCCATGGCTATCCTAAAAAAATGATGCGATGGTTTATACTCCCACCAACAAACCATGAGAACTTCCACTAGAGTCACACCAGCACTGGGTACCATCCATCATTTTGTACTTGCTTATATGATAAGTAAAAATGGTATTTGCATTTCTTTAAGGTTGATCACTAACAAACTAAATATCATCAGAGGGCAGTGACTAAGTAGATGATGAAAAATCTATACTGTCGAATATTATAGAGTGCCTAAAAATTATACCATGAAGGTCCACATATATTGACTTGGAAAGATACCCACAATATGCTGTTTTACAAAAAAAAGATGGGTTAATGGACAATGAGTCATCACAATTCCTTTTGATAAAAAGAGAAAACCTGTGTGTTTTGTCACACACACATACACAGTGGTTTATTCTGGGCTTGGAGGAGAGGGGAAGATTTTGACATCTTAGTTCATTTAGTTTTATATGCTTTAATAAAATATTTACTTAACAAAGTAAAGGTTAGGGAGAAGTTTGAAGTTTCATTTTATCCTAGCATGCCCACACACAAACATCTTAGGCTAAAACCTATTCCATCAGGGAAACTTAAAAGCTCCACACAATGGTGAATGTTATTTGCTAGGTATAGACTGGTATAGGTTGGGTACAGACTTTTACTTGCTAAGTCAGATTAGATGAATGACTTCTACTTTTTACCACCTAGTTTTTTCTTATGTAAAATGGGAATGATGTTTTTGCATCTCTGAGGTGTTTTAGGGATTGACAACCCAAATGAGAGAGATGTAATAAATTTGCTCACCAGTGCATTTATACTAGTTGACTGGAGGTCTTAGGCACCTTGGAAGTCTTGACTTGTAATGCAGAATGCCAGAATGAGTCTCTTGTTCATGTCAGTGATTTTTGGACCTGCTGCTACTGCTCAGAACATTTTGGCAACTCGTGTTTAGGAACTGCCTTTTGGTCATTTTGTGATTATTTTGCATTTCCCAGGGATGACATATATTTTGAAGGCAGTTTTGATTTATGGAAATGTCCAAAGATATTTTGCAGTCAAATTTGATGAACAAGGTGGAGACCAAACTTTGTGATAAAATTTTTGGTAAAAAACAGATGTATGTTAACTATACATTTTTATAAAGCCTGTTTTGTGTGAGTCACAGATGAGGTTTGAAGGTCATTCCCACAGGGAAGTTTAAAATATGTGTGCACCTTTGGGATTACAAATGTTCCCTCTAAAATATGCATGTCTAGAAGGTAATACACACTTGTACTCAAGTACTAGCATATCTGGTAAAAACTTACTGTGTCAAATACATCGTAATTTCTGGTATCACAGAGGATTTTTGCCTACATCTTGGCATACCCATTGGGGAACAAAGACCACAGTTTGCATAGCATTCAGAATGGAATTAACTCTCATGTATAATAAGTACTGATGTTTTTCATGGAACACTGGTTTTTTGTTTTCTTTTTTTTTGAGAGCCAGATGATGTGGAGAAAGCACAAAAACAACTGGAAAATCCTGGAGACTTCATCCACCACCCAAAGAAAAGGTCCTGGCAAATCTCTATGTTGCCAGACCAGTTCCTCCTGACCGTCAACACAGTGCAGCAAGCCCACAACTCAGGGGGGTTTGCCTATCCCGGCAGGCCGCAAGCCCAAATCATTGATGCCTGGGGACCTTCAATTTCACATCCGAGGAAGGTCCTGAGTTTCAAAGGAAAACCTGTCCAACATGTAGTGGATAGGTTGAGATTCAGCAACCCTCTCATACATGTGAAACAGACCAACATTCCCCTTGAAATCCAGAAACTGCGGCCCCACTTGAAGAACTCTTTGCACAGTCCCCGGGTCCAGTCCACCATACCCCAGCCCATGATTATCCGCCCCAGGTTCTCTGGCAGTTTAAAGGGTGAAGACCAAGCCACCAGTTTAACTGATGGGACGGTGCGTAGCTTCAGCCCCTTGACTAGCTCGCAGGTCATTAAACCGAACCGCATGTTGGCTCCCTCGGCGGCCACGGCAACCCAGTTGGTCAGGAGGGGACAGCCTCGCTTCTACTCTGCCCTGGATCCCTTTCGAGTGAACACGGAGCTCGTGCTGCTGACTGTGAGGGAGGAGAAAGAGTATGTGGAAGCCAGGATGAAAGAGTATCAGGCCAGAAAGCCTCCTGGTGTGCTCAATCCAGAAAAAGCCAGCAAAGCTGCTTGGATCAGGAAGATCAAAGGCCTGCCGATAGATAATTTCATGAAGCTAGGGAAAACAGCAGCCCCTGAACTTGGACAAAACGTATTTATCTGAATCAGCCTTGGGAAATTACAGTGTCTTACAATAAACAGAAAACCAAGTGGATATTGGTGTTTAGCCTCTTGTATTGTTTTGTTTTTGACTGTTGCCTGGCAGTGAGCTTGGGGACTGATAATTATCTTCCAAAAGCCAGAGATTTGATAACATCAAAGTAAGAAAACCGAGGGAGGCCAGGAGAGATTGGCATCTGTATTTCCCCTGAAAACCATTCAGTGAAACTTACCGAAGCCCAATTTTAGGGGAAGGGATTATTGAAAATTAAATACCATTCATCACTACCAATCTAGTGTTATATAATTTGTAGCAAATGAATGATGGATTGTATTAATGCACTGGAGTTCTCTGGTGGTTTGCACAGTAGCCTGACAAAGTTCAGTGGGTTCAGAATCTAGGAGCAGGAGGGGCTGACCTCTTGCATTTGAGAACATTCTGTGTTCTTTTCCTTCTCAGGCTAACTCCAGTGGATGAGAATTAAGCATATTCATCCTTTCTACAAAGGGGGCCACTAATATCCAATGTATTGAGGCTTCTACTTAAACCTTCTGAGGATGGTGTCAGGGGCCAGGTAGGTAATTTAGAATAGAGTGCAATGATGGCCCTTTGGAGAGCTCAAGCTCAAGCTCTCTGAAGGGATGGCTCTCGCTAAATGGCTCAGCATGGTCATAGGATGGTGTGGATGACAGAAAATATCCACTGGTCTCTGACCCTGGTTCCTGGCACAGAGCTCCTGAAACCCTTGTAATTTCTGATGTAAGAAGAGCACTAGGAGCATCTGTTATTCTAAAATTTGTCTTTGACCCTGTCCCTGACAACAGGGCTCCTAAAACTCTTGTAAATTCCTAATTGTAAGAGCACTAGGAGCATCTTTTTTAAAATTATTTTTTTATTGAAGTATAGTTAATATACATTATATTATATTGGTTCCAAGCATACAACATAGAGATTTGACAGTTATCTACATTATTAAATGCTCACCCCAACTAGTCTAGTTACCATCTGTCAACACAGAACGATGTTACAGAACTATTGACTATCTTCTCTGTGCTGTACCGTCATATCTGTGACTAATTTATATTGTGAGATTGGGATTTTGTGCCTCTTTATTCCCTTCACCTACTTCACCTACCCACCCACCCAACCTCTCGCCCATAGTGACCTCCAGTCAGTTCTCAGTGTCTATGAGTCTATTGCTGTTTTGTTCTAATGAGGTGACTCTGGGTGGGCTCTTGGGTGGCTCCTGGATGGGGGCTGGTCACCAGAAAGACCAAGCCATGTAGAAGCTTAGAATTTTCAGCCACTTGCACCCCTGCCTGCCCCCCTCCCTGCCAGCCCTACTGCCCATTCTCCAAAGAGAGGAGAGGGGCTGGACATGGATTTATTTAATGTTCATCATGCCTCTGTGAGGAAGCCTCCATAAAATCCCAATAGAATGGGGTTCAGAGAGCTTCCAGTTCATGAACTCATCCATGTACTGGTCAGATGGTGCACCCCAGCTTCAGGGGGAGAGAGCTCCTGCCTTCAGGACCCTCGCAGATCTTGCCCAATGTATCTGTTCATCTAGCTGTTCATATGTGTCCTTTATCATATCCTTCAATAAGCTGGTAAATATAAGAAAGTGTCTCCCTGAATTCTGTGAGCTACTCTAACAAATTAATTGAACCCATGGAGGGGGCATCTTTGGAACCTCTTACATATACCTGGTCAGTCAGAAGTGCAGGTGATAACATGACGTGTGTGTGTGCGTGTGTGTGCGTGCGTGTGTGTGTGTGTGTGTGTGTGTGTGTGTGTGTGTCTTGTGGGACTGAGCCCTTAAGCTCTGGGATCTGACTCTATCTCCTGTAGAGAGTGTCAAATTGAGTTAAATTGTAGGACACCCAGCTAGTGTTGCAGAGAATTGTGTGGTGTGGGGAAAACCTTCACACATTTGGTGACCAGAAGTGAACTGCTTTATGTGAGTAGTAAAGGAGACTTACAGGAGAGAAACACAGTGGGGAAGACCTGGGTTTCCCCATATGGGAGATAGACTGAATTAAGATTTCCTACGGATGGTGATGAATTCAAACAGGATACAAACAAAAACCCACCGGCCTCACAAAACCCACAACCCACATACTGGATGGGCCACCAAAAACATGGCATGGGCAGGCTAGGTGCACAGGTTACCTGTTCACAGCCTTGGCTTTTCACCTCCAAATGAAGGAATGCAATTGTTTGCCACACTTTCTCCGAGAATTTTTTTTTTTTTTCATTATTAGGATATTAGGTTTAAAGTAGCACTGGTGAATAGAAAAACTATGATTTTTAAAGGCAAGAGTCCCTTCAAATAAGGAAATGTGCCAATACACATTATTCCATGCACCAACAGCAGTTTGACCTAGGCTGGGCAGCCTGGATCTTGTTATAATTACAGGTCCAAAGACGAGGCAAAGTCCCTGAATTTTCAGATCCTTCTTGGGGTAAATCAGACACCACTAGCTGCTAAATTTAGAACTGAAATAAGAATAACATTTCTTTTCTAGGCAGTTATCCTGTTCAGATTATCATCACCCACTTCACAGCTGAGGAAAGACAGATTAGTGAGATAATTACTAAGTGCGGGAGCCTGGGTTCAAACCAGGGGCGTCCAAGCTCTCAACCTCTATTCTTTATCGTTTCGTGGCACCTATTTTCCTCCTATAATAAAAGCCTCCATTTACTCTGGAGTCCTCCTGCCTTGTTCTTAATAACTTTTTACCCCTTCGCAGGAGCACATTTTTTTCAGTTGCTTCTATAGCTTAAGGTACACATATAATACTGTACAAGAATGTCCACCGTGGTCAACATTCAAACAAAACACAACTATAGAATATTAAAGCCCTTCCCCGCAAGCGCCTGCCTTCAGGACAACGATGCTGGCGGGAGGAACACTTCTTAAGTAGCAACATCTACATGCGACAAGCCAGGAAATGGTCACCTTAAGGCCGACGATGGGCCCAAGCAGGCCCTCCTCCCAGCGGATTCTCCCTCCAGCTTTTCCTGCTGCCCCGCCCCCGCCGCTACCGC